ACGCTGATGCACAAAAATGAGAGTATTGGGGAGTTTGGGATTACTCTTTGGTCTGTTTTACATTTTTCTTAGGTCTACCTGGCCTTGGTTAGGGAAGATGAGGAGTTTATAACAGTGGCTGGGTACCCGAACTTGACTGACACCACATTCGATGCTTCCCACTGCACGATCCCATTGAACCCAGGCCTAGTTTAGAGATAAGTCGACAGAAATAGTCACTGGATTAGCAAGCAAGAGACTAGAGTTAAAACTAAACCTGCCTGGCTCAGCAATCCTGTTTTTCCTCCTCGGAATCCCCCCCAGGGTAGTTCTCCTAACTGAAATGGTCAGAGCCTACACAGATAGTTGTCTTTGTAAACAATTGGGCTGCTCCAGAGTTGGGCGCCACCCAGTGGCCACACACTTTTTCTTCAACAACATCCGCATCAATACAAATGGACTTGCTGTGGAGGGACAGAGGGAGAGAGAAAGAGAGGGAGAGAGGGAGGGAGAGAGGGGGAGAGAGAGGGGGAGAGAGAGGGAGGAAGTGAGGGAGAGAGAGACGGAGGGAGAGAGGGGGAGAGAGGAAGAGAGGGGGGGAAGAGAGAGAGAGAGAGAGGGAGAGGGAGAGAGAGAGAGAGAGAATATGCTGGCTTTCCTTCACAAACAGAATATCTGTGGAGACTTCATACTGTAAGACAATAATTACCAAGTAAATCAATGACACTAATATATTGGGATGACGCTATTCTGGTTCTAATTATCACCAGCACTAAGATGCTTAATCTAAACCCAGAACTTTGGTGGTGTTAATTTTTTTTAGAATAAAATTTAAATTTAAAAAAATTCAGACGACACCCCCCCCCCAAAGTTTCAGAATTGAAATATTTTGTTGTATATTAGGATACAACATTTCCCAGTTGTTTTCAAAGATGAAATATCCCATATGACATAACGTCACTCACTAAAAAGCTATGATCAAGCCCTGACCGCTTTGGCCTGCGGACTGAAAGGTCCCGCGTTCCATTCCAGTCAAGGGCATGTACCTTGGTTGCAGGTACATGTCCATTGGGGGAAGTGCAGGAGGCAGCTGATGGATGTTTCTAGCTCTCTATCTATCTCCCCTCCTTTTTGTAAAAAAAAAAAAAATCAATAAAATATATATTTTTAAAAAGCTACGATGCACATAATACAACATAGTTGCTAACTCTAAACAGTATGTTTTATTTTTCTAATTTATTGATTTCAGGGAGACAGGGAGAAGTAGAGAGTGATAGAAACATCCATGATGAGAGAGAATTCCTCCCCACCCCCCAAAGAATTACCAAGTATGCAAGGCATTTAACCCAGAGTTTTTAACAGATGCCAAGCGGTATAAGGCAGATGCTTCACATGACAGTTTTACATCAGCTTAGGCTTCTCAGCAACAGGCCTTTTTGTCTCTTCCCCCTTGCTCCTGACAATGAGGCCTTTACCCTATCTTTTGGAAAACCGCCCATCTCTGTCCCACTGCACCCTGTACCCTCATCACAGCGGTTGCTATGTGACTCAGCCAAACACACCAGATATGCATCTGGAGCGGAGGTAGCAGGAGGGAAGGCAGCTGAGGCTGAGTCATTGGGAGGCAGTGTCCAGGGGCTGCTCCCTAATCCTAACTACTGAGCCACCTCCCCCTCCCCCCACCCCCCGCCCCAATCCACCCTAGTGCCCATCCCTGCATAGGCCCAGGTCCTATCAATCTACAACCACATAACTCACCATAGTTCCCATGGAAGATGCGAATGCTGCGAAGGTGGTTTTTGCTCACGTGTTCGATGTCTGCTGCAGACACAGAGGCGCTGCTTGCCAAGCCAAATCACAATGTCATCTTGAGTTCTTTTCGTCCTGACAAGAAGAAACATTTGAAGAGGAGACTCAGTCCAAAGCATTTTGCTTTTTTTTTTTTTTTTAATTCTTTAATAATCAGAATGGCCAGGCCATGCATGCATTTTTGCCAGGACCTGCCCCTCCCCCCAACCCCCCCCCCCAATTATTGATAGAAGAGGGTCCGAGGTGTAATCTTACCATATTCCCGTGGCAGGAAAATGGAGAAAACGGAGAGAGAGAAACATTAACACTGCAGACTGAAAGTGTTAACTAAAAGGTATAGAGCATGACTCTGTTTTTCTTAATGTGGGCAAAATTAACATAAAAGCCCATCTCCTTCTCTGTGGAAAAAGGGGTGGACATTTTCAAAACCGGTATTATCGTATCTTCCTTCAAAGCCGGCAGCGAGGTATTTTTTTCAAGGTAATTTATTCTCACAATTTGGATACCCATATGATTCAAAATGACCAGGGACATGCGAATTAGATGAAGAGAGACATATAGGAAACCCTACAGATTCAGTGTCACTCTGTCCATCTAGTGTAGCCATAGACAGCAGGGAAAGCCATACTAAAATTTTGACAATATGCCCTGACCGGTGTGGCTCAGTGGATAGAGCGTTGGCCTGTGGACTGAAAGTTCCAGGTTCGATTCCGGTCAAAGGCATGTACCTTGCTTGGGGGCACATCCCCAGCAGGGGGCATGTAGGAGGCAGCTGATCGATGTTTCTCTCATCCATGTTTCTGGCTCGCTCTCCTTCTCCCTTTCTGTGAAATGTCAATAAAATACATTAAAAAAAAAATTTTTTTTGACAATATGATTGAAATGTGTGCAGCGACCATCTGAAGTGGTCAGGGGCTTCACGAATAGCCCTTGCGATGATTAGATGTACATAGGAGAAAGGGGCTCTCCGGAGGGAAACATGTGTGAAGAAGACACATGATACGAAGACGGTGTTTGCTCACGTGTTTGATGTCTGCTTCAGACACAGAGGCGCTGTTTTCCAAGCCAAATCACAGTGTCATTTGGTACACACATGGCTGCCCACTGGCTGTTGATTTACATACTTGATGGCATGGTGATAGAGTATTTGAAGTCCTTAATAAAATATGCCAAGTCATTCACAGTGTCGGGCAAAAGCATAAATCAATGTGGAAGAGCAAGGCCATTCTAGGCAGCTTCCTGCCTAATGATGACACATCACGGTCCACATCAACCCATCAGCCATGGCTCTAAACTTACCCAAGCCCTAGCTGCTTTGGCTTAGTGGATAGAGCATCCGCCCACGGACTGAAGGGTCCCAGGTTCAGTTCCCGGCCAAGGGCACATGCCTGGGTTGCAGGCTGGATCCCCAGTAGGAGGCAGCTGATCAATGATTCTGTCTCATTACTGCATCATTGATGTTTCTATCTCTCTCTTCCTTCCTCTCTGAAATTATATATATAATCTTTAAAAAAATAAAATAAATAAAATAAATAAAGTTACTCAAGACTTGTTGACAAGCAGGACTTAAACCTGAGCCCAGGAGGACATTCTTCATGTCCACTATAGCTTTAAAAAAAATTTTTTTTTAAAATTTTCTTCTAGCCAAAACCGGTTTGGCTCAGTGGATGGAGCATCGGTTTGCAGACTGAAGGATCCCAGGTTTGATTCAGGTCAAGAGCATGTACCTTGGTTGCAGTCGATGTTTCTCTCACATAGATGTTTCTAGCTCTCTATCCCTTTCTCTTCCTCTCTGTAAAAATCAATAAAATATATTTTAAAAAATTTTTTTCCTTCTAACTTTCCATTCTTTCATGTATCTCAAATATTTCTTACAGGATGCAGTTTGTTATTTTGTAAGCTCTTTGAGAAGATTCTATAAGTGGTAAAAGCCCTGTCTGTAAATGTTATTTCACACCCTTGGTAATGGCATAGCATACAATTCTTGATTGACAGTCATTTTCTCGCACTTTGCACTTTATATAGATCTACCTATATATCTATAGATCTATATAAAGTGAGTCCATGTTAGGGACTAGTAAACTGTTAGGATACTGTTTTTTAAAATTAAGGATGACTTACTAATAGCAATTTTCATACATCATATAAATTTTGAAGCTATTTTACTAGGCTCACATAGATTTAGCATTATATATATATATATATATATATATATATATATATATATATATATATTATTGATTTTTTTACAGAGAGGAAGGGAGAGAGATAGAGAGCTAGAAACGTCAATGAGAGAGAAACATCGACCAGCTGCCTCTTGCATACCCTGCACCGGGGATGTGTCCGCAACCAATGTACATGCCCTTGACCGGTATTGAACCTGGGACCTTTCAGTCTGCAGACCGACGCTCTACCGCTGAGCCAAACTGGTTTCGGCAGATTTAGCATTTTAATATTTTCCTGTTAAATGGGCCCTATCATCTTTATAAAATGACTTTTGTATCTCCTAATTCCTACTGTTAACATTCACTTAACCTAAATTAACATAGACATACCAGAATTTTTGTGGGCCTTGTTTCTCAGTATTTTTGTGACATAACATTTTCCACTCCTTTTGTTTTCTTTAAAAAATTATTGGATTTGCTGGGGTGACATTAGCTAATACAATTATGTAGACTTATCATGGGGAACAATTCATACATTTTATAAGTGTCTAATCACGGTGCTGTACACATGAAACTAACATAAAATAATATTTACTGAATGCCAACTGTAATTGGAAAAAAATAAAGCTAATAGGGCAAATTGGTAAAATTTCATAAAGTTGGATGATGTGTGCACAGGTTGTTATATTATTTTGTATTCTTTGTGAATGTTTGAAACATTTCACAAAATAAGCAAAACCCAGAAGGTGTTATATACATTACTCTAAATCCTTGTGATGTACATGATGAACAATACAGCAAATATTCGTTCTGCAATATTTATTATCTTCTAACAAATGCTATTCAATGGTGACATCCAATAGAAAAAAATTAGTTCAGTAGGTAAGGGATTTTTTTTTTTTTTTTAAAGCCATAGTCTGGGTTTTCTGACGGATTTCAACCAGGTCACGGTCATTTTACAGACAACATGGTTGAACATCCACCTGGAAATGTGCACACGAGACTGTTTTCCTTAAGACGAGCACATGTGAGTGATGGATGATCAACTCATAGAGCCCAGGTCACCCGGCGTTTTTGAATTTGGGTGGGTTTGGGAATATCACTATCCTTGGATTCCTGAGAGCGGACACGGACAATGCTAGGTGGAGGCGGGGAGGTCTCTGGTAAGGAAATAACTTGGATAGAACTCCCAGACTGCATTCTGAAATCACTCCCTTGGCTGGCGGTTTCGGAGGGGAGACTGCTGTCTATGGCGCGCTGGTACTCCAGGAGAGAGAAGAATCCTGTGGGAGAGAGGAGCCAGGGGAGGGCGACAGAGGAACGGCAGATGTCTCATGAGATATTTCCCTCTGTGTTGGCAGAGAGTCGCAGAGAGACGCCTACCCAAAGCCCAGGCAGGGGTGCTCTTTTGAACCGCGCCTCCCCTCCCCCCCCAAGACATTTGGAGAGGGGAGGTCGGATGCTTCGGTGGGACAGATTAAAATCAGGGGCGGAAGAGTCTCAGCCCTTCTCCACTGACACACAACAGAGGGTTCTTTTTGAAAAGGGACATGGTATCTGAGCGAGGGATTTCTAAATGAAATGTTAAAACTCTTTCAGAGCCATTCATCGGTCTGGCTCAGTGGATAGAGGTAGGCCTGCGGACCAAAGGGTCCCAGGTACCTTTCCGGTCAAGGGCATGTAGCCTGGTTGCAAGCTCCTCCCCAGCCTGGGCCCTGGTCAGTGGCTGGGCAGGAGGCAACCAATCGATGTTTCTCTCACATCGTTGCCTCCCTCTGTCTTTCCCTCTCTCTCCCACTTTCCCTAAAAAATAAAATTAAAAAATTAAATAAATAAAAACTAAATCAACGGAAAAATATTCTTGGTTGAGGATAAACAAAAAAACAAAAAGAAAACCACTTTTAGCTGAAACCGGTTTGGCTCAGTGGATAGAGCGTCGGCCTCCAGACTGAAAGGTCCCAGGTTCGATTCCGGTCAAGGGCATGTACCTTGGTAGTGGGCACATTCCCAGTAGGGGGTGTGCAAGAGGCAGCTGATCAATGATTCTCTCTCATTGATGTTTCTAACTCTCTATCCCTCTCTCTTCCTCTCTGTAAAAAAAATCAATAAAATATATTAAAAAGAAAGAAAGAAAGAAAGAAAGAAAGAAAGCCACTTTTAGAAAGAAGGGTGTCCAATGTTGGTGGCTGAACATTTAGTATTAGAGATTGCTTTTGTCTGATCTAAAACTGCCTTGGGGTGACACTGTCTCCCCCTCCAACACCTACATGAACGTTCCATGCTATGCATGCTCTTTAGTCTACCCTGAGATGGGGAGGGTGTGAAAGATGGTAGCAAAGGTGGAGATAAAAAGCAGCCCTCTTAGGCCGGCACGTTGACTGCGTCACCCACTCCTGGTCTCCAGCTCTGTCTCTAGAGGAATTGTCATCAGAGCGTGAGGCCACTTGGATGTTAGCCCCTTACAATGCAAGGATCGGGACTTTTTCCTCATTCCCTTTTCCCATCCTTTCACTCTATCCGGGAGAGGTTGGTTCTTGTTGACCCATCAAAGGCCCTCAAAACACTCACCGGAGGCAAAATGTAAGAAAATACTTATGTAGGCCGTGGAAATGTTCCAGGTTAAATGGTAGTTGGAGTAGTACACGGATTTGCCTTGCCTGAGCCTTATGTGATACAGGAGGAGGGCAGAGATCAGAAGGATCCCTATTGGCCAAACAAAAGTGGGGGAGGGGGAAGACCCTTGTGAGGACCCGTGATGCTTCTACTCATCTTAACTCCCCCACAGGCCTAATTTCGAAGCCTCCACCCTTGTCTAGAGGCACCTCATCCAAGAACCTATCCCAGGTCCATGGATGGTTCCATTCAGAAGCTGCATTATTGGAGCCAAAAATCTGGGAAAACCACAAGAATTGGAAACTACGGGCGGGGCTCACCAACCAAGTCCACCTCCACGCCCGTGTGAGGGGAGCCAGGGAGTTTTACCTGTGAAGCAAGTGAGGAGGGCAGCCGTGAAGGTGACGCACGCCGTTTGAGGGAACATGTAGGTGTATTCCATTCCCAGGTAGCAGTTGTAGAAGTAGGACAAGCTGAGGACCACAAGCAGCATGATTCTGACCACTTCCATGTCACCTGTTGGAAAGCAGACGCTATCTTGAGAGAGGGACAGATGTTTCTTCTGGGCTCATTCCCTACCCAGGGCTGCACTTCCCTAAGTCAAAAATGGAAATGGGGGAGGGGATTTGATGATGTAATCCAGACAGAAGCTGGCGGGGTGTGTGTGTGTGTGTGTGTGTGATGGAAACCATGAGCCAAATGGGAGGGAGAACCCAAAGAAACCGTTTCTATCTTGGTATCTCTGTAAGCTCCTTTCCTCCTCCTTCCCTTTCTCAGAACTCATTTCTTAGGAAACGCTCGAATTTCTCCTGTTCGCCTCTGCTGTCAGTCTAACCAACTTCCCTTGTTGCCCGTTGCCTTTCTTTTATACCCTTCTGTTCTTGCTGTGCTTGGGTCACCCTGCTGCTACTGCCAAGACTTCTCAACTGTCCAGCCAGGAAATCTGTGAACGTTAAAACGTCTCCAAAACATCAGAAATGGTGAGGTTTTTGAACTCCACCGTGGCTGCATTGATTATGAAAGGGGGCCCACTGCAGTCCAAGGACATGGCACCAACAAATAACGAGTAAGCTGGACGGTAAATGAAGTCAAGGAAAGGTGAACCTTCCCTCTCCACCCCTCTTTCAAGGGCGGTGGTTGGCAAACTCATAAGTCAACAGAACCCAATACCAATAGTACAACGATTGGAATTTCTTTGGAGAGCCCACATTTTTAAACTTCAACTTCTTCTAACGCCACTTCTTCAACATAGACTCGCCCAGGCCGTGGTATTTTGTGGAAGAGCCACACTCAAGGGGCCCAAGAGCCACATGTGGCTCGAGAGCCTCAGTTTGCCAACCATGGTCCTAGGGTATCGTTCTTACCTTTTGGCCAAATAGTACTATATTTCCACGGGCTGTGGATTTTCACGTTTTCTTCGGTTTCAATACTTAGTATAACCCAGTCATCTACCAATATTCCTAATGCCAAGAAGACTAAGGAGCAAGAAGAGATGAACACGTTGATCGCTTGGAGGTTTCTTGATGTTAGCTGCATGATGGCGAGCAAAGAGTTCAAGCGGAGACCACCACCCGTATCTCACATGCCTCTCTTCGGATTTGATTAGTCATCGGAAGAAGGGAAAAATCTAGACGTTTAGTGATCCCTGAAGACATTGGCTGGGGCGGAAGCTGAGATAGCCTCTGGGACCACTCCTATATTGGGGCCAGGCTGCTGTCAGGGATGCTAACTGTCATGGAATCATCTGTTGGTTTGACCCTAGACCCTGGGGCCTGCTTCAGTGGAAGGAACAAAGGGGCCCAGGGGTACTGAGGAAGCTATCAGCTATACAGGGAGATATGCTATCACACGCAGAGATGATTATCAGATACACGGGTAACTAAAGACTTGGAAATAAGTTAAACATGCATGACTAAGGAAGTCTTATTTTATTTTATTTTATTTTATTTTATTTTATTTTATTTTATTTTATTTTATAGGTATTTTTTATTGATTTCAGAGAGGAAGGGAGAGGGGGAGAGAGAGATAGAAACATCAATGATGAGATAGAATCATTGATCGGCTGCCTCCTGCACGCCCCCTACTAGGAACTGAGCCCGAAACCCTGGCATGTGCCCTCTAGTTTATTTATAAAGTGCAGACAATTATTTGTTAGAATTGCCTTTATATCTAGGCAGAGTAAACATGTTTGGTTCCTTGAAGAGGCAACCATGGTATACCCTAAGTTCAGAGTCAGAGCACTTGTACTTAAATAAAATTTAAAAAATTAATTAAAGCTTTTTCCTGAACTAAGATGAAAGTCACCTCTAAAACCTCTGTCTGCCTATTTCTTCAGCCTCATGGCAGAGATTGGAATTGCTAGATTTCTTTCATTGTCTCAAACACACTATGTTGTTTTTCAGACCTCTGTACACATCTTATTACATTTTATGTATCTTAAAAATATATTTATTAATTTAAGAGAAGAAGGGAGAGGGAGAGAGAGAGAAACATCAATGATGAGAGAGAAACATTGATCAGCTGCCTCCTGCATGCCCCCTACCAGGGATTGAGCCCACACCTGGGCATGTGCCCTGACCTGGATTTGACTGTGACCTTCTGGTTCATAGATCGATGCTCAACCACTGAGCCAAGCTGGCTAGGGCGGGCGTATATCTTTTTAATTTTTTGAAACAATGCTTAATATCTTTAATCTTACAAAGAGAGACAGTTTTCAGCTCTCAAAAGAAATTTCAATCGTTGAACTGGTGATATTTGGCTCTGTTGACTAAAGAGTTTGCCGACCACTGTCCTAAACATACTGCCCAGCTCAGCCTGGCCTTCCCGAGAAAGAACACACAGGAGGCCACTCTGGCTCATGTATTTTACCACGTTAGCTTTAAGACTTGTTCCCTGAATGCAGGCCACTGGTAGGGTTTAGAGAAGGTCATATCCAAACCAATTACTGCCTTAAAATTGTATTGGGAATTACAGAGCACATGCTCCCTGAATGGTTCATGTGTGATGGAGAATCACAGAAAGGAAGAGGCTTCAGATAGACTTGGAAAAGCTGCAGGAGTGGAATGCTTCACATATGGGCTGCTATAACAAAGGATGTGGGCCTAACTGGTTTGGCTCAGTGCCCTGACTGGGGATCGAACCAGGGACTCTGCTAGTCTACAGGCTGATGCTCTATCCACTGAGCCAAACCAGCTAGGGCTCCACTAGTGCCCCTTGTTTCACCTCAGTTCCCACCACCTCCACTGTTCCTTCCTCCTCCCTGCTCTTCCTCCTTTCCCTTCTCTTGTGAGACCTTTCCACCATCCTTCACACAACATTCAGAGCCATTTTCATTTCTGTACAGACCTCAACACAAGGTTTGTACTAGAGCCTAAGCTGAATGGGGAAAACAACTGACACAAAAGATTCCCTAAATCTAGAAGCAAAACAATAATGCCTTTTGAACATAGTACATGCCCACAGAAGTTTCTAAAACCTACTGTGTTCGTTTTCTAGAGCTGCTGGAACCAAGGACCACAAATGGTTTGCTTCAAATGACAAAAGATTATTATCTCACAGTCTGATTTCATCTGAATTTGCTGAAGTTTGAAAAGACTCTATTTCCAAATAAGGTCATATTACGTGTCGTTGGGATTTAGGATGTACTCATATCTTGCTTTGAAGGGCACAGTTACATCCATAATTTACCTCTCATAAATTACTCTATAGCCCTGGCTTAGTTACACTTTGTATCTCAATTGAGAATAAATGTGCTGTCAGCTAGATGGCAATGTTTTGTCTTATTCCCTGTAATTCTTGTGGGTTCATTTTAGGTTTAAGATAAATATTATTATAATTTTACTATAGGGCTGGTGCACAAAATTTTGTGCACTGGGGGTGGCGAAAAGCAGGGCACATGTGGGCACTAATAAACAGTAAAAATAAATGATATTGGCAAGGTGGGGGCCCTCAGCCCAGCCTGTGCCCTCTCACAGTCTGGGACCCCTTGCTTGTTTCCACCTGCCTACAGCAGAGGCGGGAGAGGCTCCTACCACCACCACTGTGCCTATCGCCAGTCATGAACTTGGCTTCTGGCTGAGCGGTGCTCCCCCTGTGGGAGTGCACTGACCACCAGGGGGCAGCTCCTGTGTTGAATGTCTTCCCCCTGGTGGTCAGTGCATGTCATAGCGACCAGTCGATTTGCATATTAGGGTTTTATTATATAGGATTTCCCCCAAGAGTATTTACCTGTAAATGGGAGATTATCTCATCCATAAAACTCCCCGTACTCTGGCAGATGGTAAATAAAATATGAGCCCTACAGGGAGCATGTGCTCTGTAATTCCCAGGAGCTTGACCCGATCGAAAGAATCATCACTCAAACAAAGGTCAGGGCATCTGTCTGATACTCATGCTGATGAATTCCTCACCAATCCACCCTTTGGTCTCTTTTTCAAGCGTTTCTCTCTCTAGTGCAAGTCGAGTGATCCCTTGTCAACCCGTGATGTGGAGACTTTAAATGATGTTGATGGCTTCACCTCTTGCCAATATCATTTATTTTTATTGTTTATTAGTGCCTACATGTCCCTGCTTTACGCCATAAAGAAAATCAAGTGTGAAGTTAAGAGCAAGATTCATTGACTGAGATTTCCTTAGGCAACGCACAGAAAAATGACCTTCCTAATCAGTACAGGTAATGCTGTTGTACCTGCCGAATAATGTGTATTTATTTCATTGCTTTGGAAATAGCCTTGATAGTCCCTATGTAAATTAGTGCCTAGACTCATGTTATTATGCATGGTTCCTAGAAAGGCAACAACTAGAATTATGAATGAACTTGGGGAGTGGGGGGAGGGGGAGGTGGGTGTGAGAAAATGTTGAGTTACAAAGCAGGAACTCTATTAATGAATAGGCATTTCCTGGAGACACATGACCTTCCTTTCAACTGAAGTATAGTATTTGGGGGAGGAATTAAACTGATTTCATTAAACCAGCTGGACCCAACTCCCTCTTGTCACCTGGGGCTAACTGTCAAACTCTACCCTGAACGAAAACAATAATGACTTTAGGTTGGCTAGATAAATAATTTTTTTATTTGAGTTGGTCATAGGTGCCATCTTTCAGGTAGAAGGCATAGAGTACAATGGAGAGAATGGCCCTCCCAAAAGATTTCGTTTGTGGTGCTGTAAGTGGGGGTTTTGTCCAGCCATAGTGTTGCATACTGTATTTGTTTTGCTTCTTAATCTTGGCAACAATTCTGTGGAGCTGGGTGTCTCAGGTTGGGCTCCTAAGACAGTTGGCTATGAGATAAAATTTGGAAAGTAAAATGCTTTTAAGAAGTGTCTTTGAGATCGAGACCTGTGGGAAAAAAGGAAAATGAAGAAAGAATGGACAGAGAGAGAATTTGAACAGTGACAGAGGCCTCTAAAATTAGTCTTTCAGAGTTATCCCAAGTTGGGCCAGATGAAAAGGTCACACAGGCCCATACTCATCAGTCATGAATGTGGACCGAACAAGACATGACTCCGATAGGACCACTCCTCTGCAGTGCAGCGGACAAGATCCCTGAAGGGACTAACCTCTAAAAGCTGTTGCTAAAATAGTTGGAGAAGCGATTTTTCATCAAAGGGACAGCTGGGTGGTGTGTCACAGTGTCCACCATGGAAGGTAAGCTTATCATTACTTTAGAGACACAGAAAGAGAGGTTAAGAGAAGGTCATTGTCCAGGATTGTCCTGATATCATCGTCATCATCATACATCATCATCACATTGATAATAATAATAATAAATAATGACAGATACTATCATTCAGGACCTCCTCTAAGCCTTTCACACATGTCCTTCGAAAGCACAACAACCCTGTGGGTTAGGTAGTATTATTACACCCCCCCCCCCCCTTCACAGACAAGAAACGGAGCACAGAAAACACAAATAACTTTCCACAAGTAACACAGGTAGACCCAGGCATTAAGCCCAGTGTGGGGTCACGCTCTTACCCACTATACAGTCATGCAGCTCTCAGAATGTGAACCCAGAACGTTCTGATCATCAAGCCCATGCTATTCCTTTTAAAATAAGCTGGTTTGGCTCAGTGGATAAAGCATCGGCCTGCGGACTGAAAGGTCCCAGGTTCGATTCCGGTTGGGGGCATGTACCTTGGTTGCGGGCACGTACCCAGTAGGGGGTGTGCAGGAGGCAGCTGGTCGATGTTTCTCTCTCATCGATGTTTCTGACTCTCTATCCCTCTCTCTTCCTCTCTGTAAAAAAAATCAATAAAATATATTTAAAATAAAATAAATAAAATAAAATAAGCTGGTTTGTTTCTCTCTCCCTCTCCCTTTCTCTCTGGGAGGGGGGGCAGGGGGGAGAGAGAAAGAAAAAAAATATATACACATATATTTGACAGAGAAAGAAAAAAAAATTAGTCTTAACCACACAACAAAATTAAATTGACGATTCCGTGACGGCTAATCATTTGTAAGAAACAACAGATGCTCTTGCAATGAAGATGTATCCTATGGTGGGTTTTAAAGCACATTTAACAAACTGAGTAATG